ACGAGTTAACCCCCCCCCCCCATGGGTTTCGAGGGATAGGGAGGGGGGTCAATAAGTACAGAAAATGGTAAGCCCTAAGTCAAAAAAGTAGCCTATAGAAAACTAAAGTTATAAGGCGATACTTTTGCATTTTTTCATAAACTTCTCAATATTAGCCCAGGCTCTTGTTAAGAGAATAAAAACTATAATTATAATTAGAGAAATTCCTACTCTTTCCCTAGGACTTGCACCCCCCAGGTTAAGAACCACTGCTCTAGACTAAAAATGTGCTATAAAAATAAAGGTAAACAGTATTAAAGATGCATAAAACAAACATCGCAAAAACAGTTTTGAATCTAATCTAACCAACCAACCAGACCTAACCTAACCTTATGGAAGGGGGGGGGGCTCCACAGTCGTTCGATGTTCTCAGTGTGTACTGCCAGGTACGAACATATATAATTAAATATTAAATATCTCGCTTTAACGTAATTTGCACCAGTAATGCCATTGAAGGAAAGTGTCTTAGACTTGTCAAAGTTACCGATTACAACTATAAAATTCCCAAGATTCGTTTTGTGGCAACTAGTAAAATAATTACCCCACACGGCCAGCCTTTGCTGGCCCAAAAATCTTCAAATTTTGTGCCTGAAGAACCAGGTTGATCTGTCTTTAAATGTTCGTAAATCTCCCTGGCTTTTTCACAAATGAATTCAGTAGAAACTGAATCACCTTTCAACTGTTTTTCCCTAATCCAGATGAAAAGTAACCTCTCAGTTTCTGCAATTAGGGATCTACTTTTAAACATTCTTGTAGATTTGTCTCTCACTTTCACTTCTTTAAATTTGTCTTTCTGTGCAAGAATTGTCGACACAGTTGATGTCGACATGCCATATTCTTTGCACAGCGCATTTGTTCTAATGCCTTGTTCATGTTTTTTTTTTAATTTCCTGCTTCGTTTGGATTGAAATCGCTTTTCTTGACCTCTTAGGCCCCATGCTGGATTCAAACAATTCAACACGTGATTTTTAAAGTTAAATTGGCTGTAAATAAAGAATATTTTCTTTAAAATAACACTGCACTGGCTATATATTGTCAATATGTAAAATAAATTTCAAAATGACCAATAATTTGCTTGGAAACACAGAAAAAAAGCGTTTAGTTGAAGAGAGTCTCAAGCAAGATGTTACCTCCAGTGAAAACAGAGAGAGACGAACGCTTGTTTGGTGTGTTAAGAGGCTGGATGGCGCGTATAAAACTAGTGATTTTACCTTCAATTATGTTCAATAATTGTTAAAATGACTAAAAAATTTAATATTAAACTTTTAAAAGTATTGAATAGTATAAAATTCTTGATATTTACTAAAATAGTAAGGAATTTAAGCCCTAGAACCGATTACTATATTGGCGGACTAATACTACAGCTGGTTGACCGCCAAGTGCAAGCGAAAACATGTTGAGGTCGGCTCGTAAGAAACTCGTTAACCAAAGTAAAGAATCTTATGGGAGGTAACTCGTTAACCGAAATCTCGTTAACCGAGGGATCACTGTATATATATATATATATATATATATATATATATATATATATATATATATATATATATATATATATATATATATATATATATATATATATATATATATATATATATATATATATATATATATATATATATATATATATATATATATATATATATATATATATATATAATATATATATATATATATATATATATATATATATATATATATATATATATATATATATATATATATATATTATATATATATATATATATATATATATATATATATATTATATATATATTATATATATATATATATATATGTGTGTGTATATATATATATATATATATATATATATATATATATATATATATATATATATATATATATATATATATATATATATATACACACAGTATTACCCCGCCTAACGCGGTTTCACTTAACGCGTTTTATCATATACGCGGTGCCTCGCCAGAGCTGAACTTTCACTTAACGCGGAATTTTTCATCGTATACGCGGGAAGCGGCGCGGGCACGATGCGCACAAGGTCGTCCAGTCATCAAAACATTACCGAGTTCTTCACCCGCCACCCACCACAGCCGGCCCAAGTCAGTGATAGTGATAATTATAGTGAGGATATGGACTTATATGGCCTTTGAGGGGTTTGACAAAGAGGCCCTGCAAACCTCTGTGGTGGATAGTGATACAATTGATACAAGTGATACAGGTGAGGGCCAATAATCTGCCCTCTGCCTCGGAACCAACCCCCCATCCCCGTGTGCCCAGCCATCTTTTCTACTAATGCAAGTGTTAAAAAACCTAATATTATTGATATTTCTCTTAATTATTAATTGTGTGTGCATACCATCATAAAGTTAAGATAAAATTTTTACTACAACATAGTTATTATTATTAGATCAAAAAGTGGAGTTTGGGGTGGGCGAATACTCTATTGGAATTAATCCTATGTTCTGTTGTTCACTTAGCAGTTCCACTTAGCAGCGGTACCCTGTGGAGTTCAATTGACATGATTAGCTGAGTACTACTATTAATGTTATTATATATATATATATATATATATATATATATATATATATATATATATATATATATATATATATATATATATATATATATATATATATATATATATATATATATATATATATATATATATATATATATATATATATATATATATATATATATATATATATATATATATATATATATATACACATTATATATATATATATATATATATATATATATATATATATATATATATATATACCGTATATCACGGCCTATAAGACGAAATTTGAACATTAAAAAAATCTGCCCAAAGTTAGGGGGTCGTCTAAACCACCAAGTTTAAAATTCTTACCTCTTAAATATTTGGTTTAGTGTGTCAAGAGTGGTGATGAAAACATCGTAAGCCACTCACAAGGTCTTACCACTAATTATTTTATACTGAAACTTACGTTTGGCAAGCTGGATTCAAATTAAGATTACCGGTATATTAAAATAATAAAAATGTATTATAAACCTGTCTAACATACCGTAAAAGAGATTTATACCCCTGTAATAAACACAGCTATCATCACACACCCCTCCCCACGCCCCCCCCCATTTGCCAGTGAGGAGACAAGAAAGGAAAAGTGCATTAATTCTTGAAACTATCGACGGTTAATTACAGACGCTCAAGTGACGTCACTAGTGTTTACACTACACCAGCTGGTAATATTTGATGCCATTACTTGAAGTGAATTGGCCTTATTTTAAGTAACTAACTATAAATAAATACAAAAATTAAAAAAAAGATCAAAACTGAGAAATAATATACTGTATGTATGTTGTGTTGTCAAAGTAAGAGGAACAATTGTGTAAGTACGTAATATTTTTTCACTCAAATCCTAATGAAACACTACTGGAGAACATTCCTTTGTCGCAAAACAGTTTATAAATTAAAGAAAATAATTACAGTGTGTTTAATATATTACAGTATATTATAAATAAATAAATAAAACAAATAATTCGGTAAATTTATTTAAAGTAAATGGAAAATAAGCAAACATGTTATTTACCAAGACCCTTCCCTTCCGTCTGGCTCAGGGTGAGATGTAGGGGAGATAAAGAAGGCTATTTATAGCCCATCAGAAGTGGCTAGTACCCTAATGCACCATAAATAATTCATTGAACATTCATTTTTTGTACATAGTATATTCAGTATATATATATATATATATATATATATATATATATATATATATATATATATATATATATATATATATATATATATATATATATAATATATATATATATATATATATATATATATATATATATATATATATATATATATATATATATATATTTGTGTAATAAATGTATGTAGTAAGTACATACTGGTAACCTTTTTCACTCAAATCCTAATGAAACATCACAATTAGAATACGGTGGTTGCTGTTGAACCACATGTTGTATAAATAGTCACACCACCGAGACGAGGGAACACTCCCACCACGCTTCAGTGACGTCACTAGTGTTTACACTACACCAGCGGGTATAATTTGATGACATTACTTGAAGTGAATTGGCCTTATTTTAAAAAATCAAGGATGGTTGGTAAAGGACTACTGAGTCAGTGGGTAAGTGTCACATTTGGGGTACTGGTCTTATACAGCAAATAGAGCTCAAAAGCTACTTTTTAAATGGAAATTTGGGGGGGGCGTCTTATGCACCCCGCCGCCTTATAGGCCGTGATATACGGTATGCACCTTGTTTTGTACTTCTCCTTAGTCTGTACTCACCCCTGAAGATGTGAATTACACGAAAGTTCTTGGGAACTTTGTGTTTTCTTCTTTCCTTGTGGTTATCAGCATATATATATATATCCATTAGCTGGAATCCCTCAAACTGGGAACTCTCCGATAACCGGAGTTGAAATTTTCTCGGAAATTGGTTCTCAAAGCCGTAATTTTGGGAAAAATTCCGGCTGTGGGAACGATTTTACTAGGGGCACATTTTCCGGAAAATTCCAAGAAAATTTTTCCAATACCCAGAAAATTCCGGGGATGGGGGAGTTTTTTTCCTGGTTTGAGAGATGAAAACCAGGTGCATTTTCTGGAATTTCTGAGAAAAATTTTCCGTTACCCAGGAAATTCCAGGGAAGAGGGATATTTTTCTGGGTTCGAGAGATGATGTAATGGGCAATTTCTGGAACTACCGAGAACATTTTTCCGTTACCCGGAAAATTCCGGGGATGAGGGATTTTTTTCCGGCTTTGAGAGTTGTCTCGTTACCCTGAAATCTCTCATTCTCGGAAGTGCTCTGCACTAATTGTTGCGGCTAATGGGGATATCACTGTGTGTGTGTATATATATATATATATATATATATATATATATATATATATATATATATATATATATATATATATATATATATATGCTGTACAGTATACAGATTGTACGTTTCAGGTTGGCGGAGTATTTGTGGAGATGGGGTCGCAGGATGGACTATGGCTGAGTAACAGCTGGTGGCTAGAGGTCGTTCAAGGCTGGCAGGGGTTACTGGTGGAGGCCGACCCTCTCAATTACATCGAGCTTCGAGCCTCGCCCAGAACCTCCCGCACCCTCCCTGTCTGTGTCACCACCGGAGACATCCCCAAACAGGTTAGTCTTTACTGCTAGATTTTTATTTATCTAATTATTATATCTATACCAGAGATATACTGTCCAGAGATATACTGTCCTGTACTTGTCTTTCTAATGTTTATGCTTCTGTTGCCTTTTATTGTAATATCTTTACTATTTATTATGCAACTCAACATTCAACAAAATTGTGGTTGTAATATACAGTGGGGTATGCTATAACGAATCTAATTGGTTCTAGAACCTTGTTCGTTATAGCATTCGTTCGTTATAGGATTAATCCGTTCCAGGCCCCCAAATACAACCACTTAACACTGAAAAATATAATATAAAATTGTAAAAATTGTAAAAAAGTGCATAAATATGCATCTAAACCCCTGAAATAAAGAATATCATTAATATTTGTAATAATAAAACAATAAATTAGAAAAAAAAAAATTAAATTATGTTCGTTGTAGGAGTTTCGTTCGTTATAGCATTCTCAATTTTATAGGTAAAACCGTTCGTTATAGGAATATTCGTAGTAGGATCCGTTCGTTATAGCATACCCCAATGTAATTGGTTTTCAATTTATTTATTAATTTTAAGATGCACAGTATAAAAATTGTAAATGATATATGCTTCATTGTATGATGGAACGAACGAATGCTTGCCTGGTCTCTTCTAAAAAGTAATTAAAAAGGATACAGGTAAAGGCGTTAATTAGGAAGAGTTGTAGTGGAAATTTCCCCTACAACTACAACTGCCGTTTGTCGCTGACTAGCCAATCCCTTTTCGGGTTCCCCTCCACAGGATGGAGGAGAAACTGATCACTCTCCCAGTCTTCAATCACAACATTGAAGACTGGCTTATCCACACAGAGGCAGCCTCATCGGCTCTACAGCTACAGACGAACAGAAATACGGCGCCCTGATCTGTTCCTTGCCCACAGAAGTTGCCACGCAAGTCTCAGAGACCATCACCAACCCTGCAGCTGACAACAGATTCGCTGCCCTACGGGATGCTCTGAAGACGCGTTACCAGAGGTCCCGCACCAGTCTCCTGCAAAACCTATCCTCTCTCTCCCTCGGAAACTCAACGCCTGCACATCTTTGGGAGGAGACATGTAGACTGAACTTCCGGCACACAGACAGACTTTCCGACTCTGTCCTGCACCAGCTTCACGCACAAAAGCTCCCCACACAAGTACGCATCACCCTGTCCGCAGTAGATTACTCTACAACACCAGAACTCTACGCAACCTCGGCAGACAGAATATTCAACGAGTGCGCTGCTGTACGCCATGCTTCCGCGCACAACTCAGCGGACACACTTTCACTTTTCTCTGGTCTCGTCAACCTGACCAGCGCTCCCCAGACGACCAACACCTCACAAGACATGCGGGACCTGCTACTGTCCCTACACCGCAGGTTAGACACCCTAGAGCAGCTTGTTCCTCCAAGCATGCAGCTGCCCCTCTTCCTGCCCTACGTCCTACCAACACACCCGTCCAGCCTCAGAAGCCGCCCCCAGCACAGGGTATCTACCCCGTTGGTACCACCAACGTTTTGGTGCTAACGCTAGACGCTGTGAGGCTCCCTGCAACCACACGGCGAAGCGACATCGACGGAGACTGGTAGGCGCCATAACCTCCGCCACTATCAAGCAGCACATCACACGCCTTACTTCTGACCCTGACCACTTCACTCCTGCTGTCCGTCACGACCTACTACAAACACTACGACAGGCAGTTTCTGCATTCAAGGCTACTGCCCCACGCCAGCCTTCCCACCGCCCTGAACACATTAATCCCGCACCTCCTCCGCCAGTCTGCCCACCATTACCCCTTGCAGCACCACCTCACCCACATTTCTGGGCACCCTCTTTTCATCCTCAGGTACCTACTGCTCCTGACGACCCTGCAGCCAGCCCTATGGACCCAGACACCCTACCCGGCGCCACTGAGGACTCTGTACCTGCCGCGAGAGAAGCACCACATTTCTCGCCTGTACAACCTTCTCTTACCCACAACCCTCCTTCTACCTGTGCTTCTCCCACAGATCTGGTGTCTCTAGACAGAGTCGTCTCCCGTAGCGGCCGGCTAATCCACACCCCCGCCACATGTCTCACATGTGGGATACAACCCTGCCGACAACAAGTCTCCTGCACCGCCCGGAGGGGAGGGGGAGTATTGTAGTGGAAATTTCCCCTACAACTACAACTGCCGTTTCTTGCTGACTAGCCGATCCCTTTTCGGGTTCCCCAGCCAATGCCTCGTGGTCTAAGGTTGGCTACTAGCGACGCCTAACAAAGTGAGGTCAGCTATCAAGCCACGCCTACCTCCGCTATATAAGACCTCACCTTGCCGTGAACGCCCTTCTACCTACAGCCACGCAGCATGCAACACCTCCTCTGAGCAAGCTCCGCACCAACCAGCTCTCTCTACTCCACGCTTCTAACCACACAGCAGCTTCCCAGCACCAAGCTGCACTGTACACCCAATACAATATATGTAAAGAGAGAGCATTGTGAGTTTCCTTTCTCCAACCCATCCTGAGTGTGAGACAACATCACGAAACCCCACAGAGAAAACTGAAAGTTTATCCGATTATATACAAGTGAAATATGTTAACACTGGAGCCATATAGGTTGGCCCTCATTGGACCTCTGTTTGGGACAAGATGGCTGTAACAGGATAAAACCAATCCAACATAAATGTATCCATCATTCAATTAATTCATTCAAGATATTTGAAGAAAAGAAACGAGAGCAGACCTTAAAAGTTGAGCAGCTATGAAATAAAAAGATAGCAAGTAAAGTAAAGAAAGGTTAAAGAAAAGTAAGTAAATACAGGGTACAGAAGAATGTTGTTTTGGTTGATTGATACTGGTGAGATGCAAATACTGTAATGTATGTCTGTGTAACGAAATATTTAACCAATGTTGATGAGCAAAAGTTGAGGATTTGGATTAGATAATTCGATCCAGTGTTACCTGCTCCTGAAGTAGTGTTACCCGTCCTGAAGTAGTGTTACCCATCCTGAAGTAGTGATACACCCCTCCTGAATTAGTGATACACCCCTCCTGAAGTAGTGTTACACCCCTCCTGAAGTAGTGTTACACCCCTCCTGAAGTAGTGATACACCCCTCCTGAAGTAGTGATACACCCCTCCTGAAGTAGTGTTACCCCCTCCTGAAGTAGTGATACACTCCTGAAGTAGTGATACACCCCTCCTGAAGTAGTGATACACCCCTCCTGAAGTAGTGTTACACCCCTCCTGAAGTAGTGATACACCCCTCCTGAAGTAGTGTTACACCCCTCCTGAAGTAGTGATACACCCCTCCTGAAGTAGTGTTACACCCCTCCTGAAGTAGTGATACACCCCTCCTGAAGTAGTGATACACCCCTCCTGAAGTAGTGATACACCCCTCCTGAAGTAGTGTTACACCCCTCCTGAAGTAGTGATACACCCCTCCTGAAGTAGTGTTACACCCCTCCTGAAGTAGTGATACACCTCCTGAAGTAGTGTTACACCCTGAAGTAGTGATACACCCTCCTGAAGTAGTGTTACACCCCTCCTGAAGTAGTGATACACCCCTCCTGAAGTAGTGTTACACCCCTCCTGAAGTAGTGATACACCCCTCCTGAAGTAGTGTTACACCCCTCCTGAAGTAGTGATACACCCCTCCTGAAGTAGTGATACACCCCTCCTGAAGTAGTGATACACCCCTCCTGAAGTAGTGTTACACCCCTCCTGAAGTAGTGATACACCCCTCCTGAAGTAGTGTTACACCCCTCCTGAAGTAGTGATACACCCTTTATTAAGCAATGCTTCAAATAATTTACTGTGTAACCTCATGAAGCAGTGTTACCAAGTACAAATATTTACACCCTCCTAAAGCAGTATGTCCCTCAAGTAGTATATCCTCTGTGAGAAGCAATTTCGTCCCCTCCTTCTCATCCTGAGGCTTAATAACTTCCCCACCTGAGACAGTGTCGCCCCCCCTACAGGAGTTGATGGTACGCAGGAGGCACCCTGAGCTGTGGAACACCACCTTAGGGATGCACCAGCGAGGCCAGTCCATGATGGCCAGGTCCGCCGCACCCACGGTAAGTCCTTACATACACTACCTGTGGGTCTCCTGTTGGGTTGGGTTGACAGTTCCTTGTTCCTACTTGCTGGGACTTTAGTGGTGGCTTCCTGGTGCTTTTATGGTTGGTTGTTTAATGGCTTATAGTGGGTGAGGAGAATGATCGTTGTACGTTAGGTCAAAGCACCAAGTTTTGGCACATCAATACTTTAGTGCTATGCAAAAATTTTTGAGAGGTGGTTGCCCAATTTTTAAAGTAAAGGTCAAAGGTCAAAAGCAGGGTTGCCCAAAGCAACAAATTTGCTAAAGTTTTAGTTTAGACCATATATAAATTTTGAGAAGTTACCCAATTTTAACCATAACCTGAGGTTTAAAATACTATATTATTTTTCAAACATAATCCTTCTTTTTAGATAAACTATTAATTTACATAAATACAAAATGGCTGCCATAGTGTGCAAATCAAGTTTGCTGGTGTATTTACCTATACTTTAGAATTAAAGGTTAACACAAGTTTAAATGCAATGTATGATGATGAACACCTTTCGAAAGCACATAGTAACTGGGGGTCTGGACCCCCTTTTTCATCGGAAGATTCCAATACTTTTTCTTAAATGCAGTATTGTACTCAGACATTTTTGTAGTAAAAAGTAATTACTACTGACCTCAGAATATCTCCTAATATCAAGTGCACATGGCCTCAAAATGCCCATGATATTGGTCAGAAATAAAAAAACACTCTCTGGGTGAACTAGTATCCTATCAAGGTGGTGGAACACACTCTGGGTGAACTAGTATCCTAACAAGGTGGTGGAACACTCTCTGGGTGAACTAGTATCCTAACAAGGTGGTGGAACACTCTCTGGGTGAACTAGTATCCTATCAAGGTGGTGGAACACTCTCTGGGTGAACTAGTATCCTATCAAGGTGGTGGAACACACTCTGGGTGAACTAGTATCCTAACAAGGTGGTGGAACACTCTCTGGGTGAACTAGTATCCTAACAAGGTGGTGGAACACTCTCTGGGTGAACTAGTATCCTAACAAGGTGGTGGAACACTCTCTGGGTGAACTAGTATCCTAACAAGGTGGTGGAACACTCTCTGGGTGAACTAGTATCCTAACAAGGTGGTGGAACACTCTCTGGGTGAACTAGTATCCTATCAAGGTGGTGGAGTATCTCGCCAACTGCTGAATATCAAGTGTCAAACCAGTATTTGTACCACCACTTTGAACCATATCAGGAACTTTCTGCATGAATAAATTTATTGTACATATAGGAACATGTAATGGTAGTTGGATTCCCATTAAGATTTTTTAGGTACAGTCACGAACAAAAGTCCTGTGGCCCCTTCTGCTTCTCCGTGAACCTTAGAGATTCAGACCCGTGAACCCAAAGCAGTAGACACTGATGTATTATTCATGATTCTGAATTTTGGGGTTTGTGGAGCAACAGAAGGGGGCGACAGGACTTTGTTAACGATTGTACGTTCTTTTATATAGTCAGATGAGAGAGACAGAGGCTGTACCAACATATTGTGTGTCAACAGAACCTGTACCTGGGGGAGACGTGGAACACCACCTGCTACCCGCTTTTCTCTGTCCTAGCTGCTGCTGGCTACAAGCAGGTATAATGTGTGTGTGTGTGTATGTATGAATAACCCTTGATTATCTTATTTAAGGGCAAACAAGAGCTCAGTTGTTTTTTTTTTAAATAAGGAGAGTTATCGCCATTCTATACGTCCATTGCCATAAAGTTTTTAATATTAAATAGGAAAATAAGATCAATTTGTTCTCTACATTAGTGGCCTTATTAGATAAGACATATTCTGCTTCAATAATCAAGTTGTACAAACAAAATAGTATAATATCAAAATTCCATGAGTTCTTCAGAGTGATAATATTTCTTACCAGCTCTTTATGGTAGTAATGGAGGAACATTTATAAGTTACTCAAAATGACAGGTTTATTTTCAGTGTTTACTATGTACTGTACACCATTATTTATATTTA